CCTTGGATGGGTAACACTGACTAGTTGTATTCTAAAGTGGACAAAGTGATCAGTTATGTATACTGTGGGTATGAAAACAGCAACTGTAGCTGGCTGTTTATGACTATGAGACCTTTTCAGTCATGACTGGATGCAGTTATCTATGTCTTCTAGCTTGAATTAGTTGGTACAGTGTATTCTGGGATGGTACTCTTGACAGCTGCTGTCTTGGAAGCACTCATCCAAGAGTGCTTCCTTGGCATTCACTCTCAGTCACAACCAAGGTAGAGTGCAGTGTTCCTGGCCTCAGTTTCAGGAGGTTGTAGTGACAGTCGCATCTTGCTTTGGCATATAAATTGTTCCTAGTTAGGCTGAGCAAAACCGGTTATACCTTAAGCTTATACGACGCTTGGACATCTGTCACTCGACCGAGGCATTTGTGACTGGCTGAAGTATATTGGGGGTAGTGAAAGTTGACAAATCTGTTAGACTGCCAGAATTACTATCATCACCATCCTCCTCCACTGGTTTAGAGTCGTTCTCTGCACTCTTCTCTTTACTTTCAGCCTTCAACTTGGCCAGCTCTGAAGACATCCTTCTGCTACTAGATTCACTGCTACTCGTGCTGCCACTCAGGAGTCCTGCGTGAAGCTGATATGCACTCGTGAAAGAGAATGCAGTGTCAGGTAAATCACTGGTAGCCTCATTTATATACTCTTCCCTGCGGCGTCTCTTCTCCATGATAGCCATACGAATACGCTCGCGCCTTTGCTTGAGGACTGGGCATGTTCTTTCTGAGTGTAGGGTATATGCCATGATGGAGAAGATGCGCTTGGCACAGTGCTTGCAGGAAAATGTACAGCAACAATCTTTGGTATAGTTGCATCTGTCACATACAATTTCCTCTTGGTTCCTCTCACGTTCACGCTTCTCTGAACGACGCTTCTTAGAACTTCCTTCATTAGGGCTGGAAGAGGGTGTATCCTGAAAGAAAACACACATCATTAGTACATTATCATACCTAAATAAGTATATGGTTAGGGCTGGAAAAGGGTGTATCATGATAGAAAACATACATGTCATAAGTACGTTATCATACATAAATACGTATATGGTTAGTAAACCCATAGATATACTGGTCAACATTCATCAGATTGTTATTTGGAATATAATATATCCCTGCCATGTACGCCACTAAAACATTACTTGACCATGACCAACTTAGAGTGCTTGAATGTAGAAATACAGGCTTAGTCATGCCAATTTGCTCTAAAAGATCATCTCACTCTCATCAAATAGTTTGGGAAAACTTGAAAAGTGCTTTCATCAGACCATATAACCCAAAACTAGTCTTTAACCCTTAGTGCTGGGATGGCATGACAATGCACACACACACACACACACACACACACACACACACACACACACACACACACACACACACACACACACACATATATATATATATATATATACATATAAATATAATGTCTTACATGCAGGCATTAAAGTCAATGTGCTAGATGAAAGATGTTGAAACAATCAAGGTGTATCATGAAAGTACAATACAAATATTACTTATGCACCAGAATGAGCAGCCATTAACCCTTAGCTGCCGGGTGGCATGTACATACATGTCATGGCATGCCTGTACTATATTCCGGGTGGCATATGCGCCAGTCCCGTTTTCTGGGGACATGTACGGTCATGTTGCACATGCTATGGTGCTGACACAGTCTCCCGGCAGCGGGGCCAGGACCACTATGAATACAGCCCGGGAGAGAGGGCCTTTGCATCGGAAAACCACCCAGTAGCACTGGGTTAAATTTGATGCCACCACTGAGATGTAGAGTAATGGTTTCATTTCAACACGGTAGCTAATATGGTCAGTATTTTTGTAACTGATATATGTGATGAAAGATGATCATTTCAGTTTTATCGTGTGTACTACTTTATATTTTTGATTGAGAATTAATAAAACCAGAAATAAAGCCAGCAACAAACCTTCTTCTGACAGAGGCCCTTCTGCAGGTGGTTCTGGAGACGCAGCTCAGTGGAGCACCTAAGGCCGCAGTGCTGGCACCGGTGTGACACCTGGCAGTGGCCCTTGTCCTTGTGAGCTCGGTACCTCTCCTCACTTGCGAACATCTGGAGGCACTCAGTGCAACGGTGGTATCCCTCTGGTACCTATGCATGGGGGGGGGGGGGGGTGAATTTTAATGGTCTGCATACATGTAGATTTGGAAATAACATTCTAGCATCAAAAATCTCTTGAACACCCTTTCCCTATGCAGAATCTACTTCGTATAAATATTAAGCATTCTGAAAAACTGTTTAATCTAATATTCTGAAATAAATAAATAAATTAAAATGAATGTGGAAACATGAAATAAATAACAAATTATTAATACTACATACATGAAATATAAATATTATATAAAATAGGATTATCACTGGAATTTGTATTGAGCTCAAAATAGAAAAAGACCTGAGTAAATTTAAAGCAGAAAATTAGAAAAGAAAGGGAAAGAATAAAAAAAAAAAAATAGTAAAATAAAATAAAAAAAATTAAAAAAAATAAAAATAAAAAGCAAACAAAGACAACTAAACTGACAAAGAAAGAGAATGACAAAAAAACAATAAAAAATAAACAAACAAAGACAACTAAACTGACAAAGAAAGAGAAGGACAAAAAAAAAAAAAAAAAAAAAAAAAAAAAAAAAAAAAATATATATATATATATATATATATATATATTTATATATATATATATATATATATATATATATATATATATATATATATATATATATATATAGAGAGAGAGAGAGAGAGAGAGAGAGAGAGAAAAGAAAACTATAGAAAAGAAAATATAATGCAAAATGCATCTTTTTCTGCCCTCCAGAGACCCCAAACCTTCTCTTTACCTCTTTCGTCGAGAGTCCACGGCAGTTGCCCTTCTTCATGTGATAGTAGAGTGAGATCTTGCTCTTGTAGGCCTTATCGCAATAGGGGCAGACCTCGTTCCGTCCCTCATTGTGTGTCAGTCGGTGGGTCTTCATGTTGTGAATGAAGCTAAAGGTCTTGCCGCAAATATCACAGGGGTATGGCTTCTCACCAGTATGTACCACCTGGAGGTTGACGAGACAATGATAAGGAATGGGAATGGCATTAAAGAAATAAGATTGGTGAATGGATTTGACACAGAAAAAAGATGAAAAAAAGAAAGAAGGAAAGAAAAAATGCAAATGAAAACTGATATTGAAAAATGAGGCATTTATATATTGAAAGTGATCATGCAAAAAATACATAAATAATACTTAAATCTCAAATACCAATCTATCAATTTTGGAAACTTGGGTAAATATAACCCACTGCTTTCTAGTCTCAAAACATAACACTATCTCGCATGAGAATCCTTCACCAAAACCCAACACAAATTCACTAATGATGAAAAGTTACATTAACAAAAGCCTCTCTTATAACTTACCAGGTGGTCTCGCAGGTTGGACCGGCAGTTGAAGGTCTTGCCGCAATAGTCACACTCAAAGCCCTTCTTGCCTGAGCCGGGAGCAACCTCAGGCGTAGGATGAGCTGTCCGCCTGTGGTCCTTCAGGGCTTCTAAGGTTGGCAGGTCCTCCCCACACGTGGCGCACCGCACACTCTCTGTTTGAAGTCGAGGCGGTTTGTGGCTGATGTATGCTTTTATGTATTTTTATTTTTTTTTATTTATTTATTTATTTTTTAAAAATTTGATTTCTATTGCATAGCTGATTCAACAACTTCTGCTACAAAGCTAATTTATGTTACAAATTTTAATACATGATTTCTGTTTTATAAATATTTAGTTTTCAAAATAAATCTCATTATATGATTCTACCACACAAATATTATATACACTATTGGTTATGATTCTGTCCTCCATCTAATTTCTATAACATCATATTGAAGTGCAGCAATTGAAATGTGTCTTTTGGGGGGGATATAGTGAAAATTGGATCTCAATATTCCTCTTGCTGTTTCAAAAAAAGGGATGTTCCATAATACTATTTTATCAGTTTATCAGGGATTATTAACTTATAAAATACAGGGGAAAACATATTACATTACAATAATAATAATAATAATAAAAAAAAAAATGAACAAACTTAAATATAAGACTTAAATATTAATTCTTACCATTCTTATTGGGGTTGCATGTCCCTTGGTACTTGACAATGTGTCGCGTCAACTCTGACTTGGAAGGGAACTCCATTGTACATGATTCACATTTGTTAGACCTTTCTGTTGACAACCTGTAATAAAAATTCCGTCTTTTTCACAATCTAATTATTCTTTAAAAAATTCATAGTTATCATTTTAAGCACTATTATAATTATTTCTTGCTATAGTTATTTTACCCCATTATATAATAATTGTAACCAAAATGAGACCAAACACAAATGGTAAAATTTCATGGAACAAATGAGAACAAATCACCAAAATCTCTTCAGCATCACCAGAACCTTGATTGGATAAATATGTATCTGATTAACAAAGCAAGTGGGAAAAACATCATGCTTCCTGCACCATCTGATCATGGCCCAAAGAATCACACACACGCACACACACACACACACACAAAATAACATCAACTTCGACACCAACCCGTGAGAAAGTGTGTGCGTCTTGAGGGATGGCCGGTCGGGGAAGCCCTGGCCACACATATTGCAGGTGTAGCCGAGTGCACCAGAGTGGGTCATCATATGCCTCTTGAGCTCCTGCAAGACTTCGAATTCCATGTTGCACACTTGGCATTGGAACGGGATGTTGAGGCTGTTGTGAGCCTGGGGGGGGGGAGAGGATCGATTAGCAAGATTTCTTACAGTGACAAGATTTTAAATACTACAAGTCTTGACCTAAATCCTTATTACACGACGGCTGAACTGTTTACAGCATTAAGATGTTAGCACACTGTTAAATACCCTTTATGCTAACATTCCCTCTTTAGCATTAGTGCTCTGTTCCCTTTCTCTTTTCCATATTAGCTAACTAAATGGTTTGTGGTACAGTCTTCAGTACTAGTATTGAGGTAATATAAGATTACTACAGAGTTACACATACAAAAAGCTCTAGCAAATGATAATACATTTGGATCCTTTTTAAACTGTTCCATGAAAAAAAAAAAAAAAAAAAAAAAAAAAAAAAAAAAGAGAGACCAAAGGAAGTCTTATTAGTTTCAAAGGTTAATTTCCTCACTCATTCAGTTTTTTATACATATACGTATTTTAAAATATGAGGTCTATTATAACAGATGTATGTTTAATTCAGTTGATAATTGCTTTTTCCAATCCTTATTTCATGTAGCAATAAATAAAATTACATATGTAATATCAGACCCATATGTAGACACACACACACACACACACACACAATGCATAGGTCATAATATATAAAAATAACAATTCAGAAATTAGAGTCACAAAGTGATTCCTGTGTATAAATCTATCACTATGAAATCAGTGTTTACCAAATCAATTTCAGAACTCAGTTTACTTGTTATCAAAATATATGCTTATTGGGGATATCAGTAACTTACAATTATCAAAATGATTTTCAAGATCAGAAATTCTGAAGTAAATTGAACCCTAAACACTGCTTTTGGAGTTTGTATTATTTCATACAAAACCATACAAAACTGAAAACCATATGTAATTTTATAGGATTATACAGACCCTTTTTCAATAAAACCTCTTTTGCCTTTTTCATTATTTTCTTAACCCCTTTAAGCTAGTAACACGATTCTTAAAGATGAAGACAGTACTAGGCTGATGATAAATTGCATAAATCATTATATAAACGATTAAATACTGATGATTGGGGCTAGATAATACCACATGAGTAGAATGACAATACTAATAGCAATAAAATCATAAAAAATAGCTAATATAAAAAAAAAATAATGCAAATACCAAATTATATTATGAATAATAATAACACCACAATCGATATTTGTACCATGCTAAGAACCAATGATATTGGATCATTATATTTCATTACTGTATTATCTTTAACCCAAATGCCGACGGGTATGACATGTACGTGCGTGCTATGCCCACTGTGAGTACTTGTTTGATTATTTTTACACATAGATAGCTACACTTGTACTAAGTCACCAATTAGCTAGTTACGAGTACTGCCTGTCTTGCCCGTTTACCCTTTTCTTCGGTTTACGAAATATTTTGTTATCTTATTTTGCGGTTACTAATGTTAAAAAATATAAACATAATAAAAATAACACCATCGATATTCATGGCACTAGTAAAAAATATGTTTTTCCCGCCAATTCAAATCAGGTACGGTCACAAGGTCTATTAATTGACTCCTTTGTGGCTAAGCACTAGCAGAGCCATCTATCATCTATAGGCAGACATTTCACAAATAGATATAGAAAATAGGCACAGCATTTCCCCCATTTTTTGTTCATTTTCCCCGGCAGCATTGTGTTAAAGTAGATTTTTTTTCTTTTTAAGCATTACAGTATATTTACCCTTTTTTTTTTTTATCATCACACTGATGACTGATTTTTACCTCATTCTTTGCAATTTATACTAGTCCATTCATTCTTAAATGAAAACTTCTTTCCATATAGGGTCTAGAACATAGCCAACCAGAATACTGAGAAGAAAGTACACTCTAAATATAATACATTGAATACTGCTATACAGGCCAACGCAACAATAAATATCCTATCATTCCTTTCATTGGGGAGTTGAGAACCTATGGGAAAGGTAGACAGAAGCCTATCGCATTCCAACAGTGTATTACAAATGGAAGCTTTCAAATCAACCTATACATAAATTTCTGTCTCTGTGGTTCCTTCCCTTTCTTGAATCTTGTTATAGTTTAAGAAATGAACTAGACTCCATGATCTTGCTGTAAGAGCCTGGTGAACTAAGGCTAGCTTTATGAACTACATATAATGATAATAAAAGTAATGATGATAGACCATGATCATGCATGGATATGACAAGGATTATGATAAAAGTAACAGGCAGCTATAATTTCATTAACGACAGTATTGATATTCAAAAAGATAATACTAACACTATAAATGATAGTACTGATTGACTAATTACATCATATATGATAAATGATAGATGATAAAAAAAAAATGGAGGAAAATATACATAAAAAAAAACAAAGACAACAACAGCATCACAAAAATGGAGAATGGCCTCAGTTCCTACCTGCCGCTTGTGAGAGGTAAGCAGGTACTGGTACTTGAAGGCCTCACCGCACTTGTCACAGGGGTAGACTCCGGGGTGGTCAAGCAGGATATCGCTAGGGATGTCATTCATGCCATCATTGCTGTTCTCATCTTCATTATCATTGCAGTCCTGGAAGCCATCGGCAGAGTCATCCTGACCACCCCCAGTGCTCCCACTGCCACCCTCGCTGTCCAGGAAGTGCGTTGGAGTTGGAAGACTGAGCAGGAAGTGTTCTGCAGGGAAGATGGGGTTCTCGCTCTTCTGATCCTCC